CCAAAGTTCTAACACTCGTTTTCCACGAGTTCTTTAAATTCAACCTGAGAGAATCACAAAGCAGAGATTTGTCTTACGTTTACTACTTTAAGATCAATTCAGCACCGATTTCAGCAGATAGGAGACTTTGTTCGTTACTTGCGTTTTGCTGAAAAGCTTCCTGGTTGGCTGCTTGAGGGAATCCCGGCTTTTGATTGGTTGCTGGTCGGGCGTCTGGATGACGTAGTTTCTGGGAATGCCCTCGGTGGTGATTGGTTGGTTGCCTGGTGACGCAGAGGCTTTGGCAGTTCTTCTGAGAGAGTTTAAGTTTGCAAGACTTTAGGCTTTCGAAGATCTCTGGCATTCACAAAGCTTCAACGGAGTGTTTGAGTTCTGGATGACCGATCGTTTGATGGTGCCGCTTGTGAGCGCAAGTTGGAGCGCGCTTAACACAAAGGCAGAAGGGCGAAAGGCGAAAGGCTCCGTTTTGCATTGTTTTGATCCGCTGCATAAGTCCGTTCAATTTATGTGTTAAATGGTCATGGGTATCACGCATCTGGTCCCTAAAAGCCCGTAAAACAAAGATAGTTTGTATCCTGGTTTGAGTTAGGGTCTTAGCACCGCTTTTCTTTGAGTCTCTTGAGAAGATAAGCCAAAGGGGACAGAAACTGCTGAGACACTGAACTGACCCTGTATTAGTTTTATGACCGCAGATGGCTGGGGAGGAGAATCTTTAGTTTTTCCGGTGGAATGCGGTTTCATGTTTGACTCCATAGTTTAAATTGTTTCTGTTTGAAGACAGAAATCCTACAACCTTGACAGTTTAATTTACTTTGCAGTCTATGGGACAGTCACAAGCCTCCCGGTTTTCATCCAAAATATCTTAAATTGTGTTCCGAAGACAACCAAAGCTTTTACGGGTTTGGAACGACATGGAGGTAAGTGATTAATGACAAAATTTAAATTTTGGGGTGGAGTAACCCTTTAAGTCCTGCAAGTTGAAAGGTGGGGCCTCCATGGATTGGAATTGTTGGTCCAGCACGTCCCATAGATGCACAATGGGATTGAGATCTGGGGAATTTTTAGGCCAAGGCAACACCTTGAACTTTTCATCATGTGAAGATTTCCTGCTTCCAACAACATGATATTCAAGAACTGACAGTTCACTTACTGCTTGACCCTTAAATGCACGAATGTTTCGCCAATCCTTATTACATATTCGGGTCTTTAGCGACTCGGACCTATATTTCCAACACGGATGGATCTCTAACTGCTGCAATAGCAAAAAACTCTCGTTTTCAATGACTTCATATTCAATATTTTGATCACTGGCAGCTTATTCACCACATCCAGCATCAAATGACAGTGACATTTATATTTCATTGCGTATAGTAATTGCTCTGAAGTAAAGCCATTCAAACCAGTTCAATTTTTGCTGATGATATTCGTTTGTTTTTTGTCTGCGGTAATTATGAGTGAAACATCATGTCATCATTGTGTATCAAACAGTGCCACCTTGAGGAAAAAAGATGCATTGCACATTGAGTCATCAGATATGTAAATATAGTTGCGCAGGAAAGAATACTTAAACATTTACATACCTCGGGTCTGTAGCGACCCTATACGCTTTTTACCAAAAATTAATCAGAAAATAGACATTCTTTTATACTTTACTATTTTTTTTCTTGTTATATTGTTTATAATGAATAGATTGAGGAATACTAATGCCGAGTTCACACTGCACGATTTTCAGACTCGTGGGATCGCCATTGTTTTCACACTGCGTGACTATCTGGGGTAGCATTCAGTTGCTACTGTGTTCACATTGCACGATGGATCGCATGACTTCACAATAGGAAGAATCGCTGACAGCTCTGTCTGGTGCAGGGTTGCCAGGTTTTCGCTACAAAACCCGCCCAATTACTACTCAAAACTAGCCTGAAAATAGCCCAATTGCTTTCGAGGGGGT